TACAGATTTTGATTCATTTATTATCATTTGCAGGCAGTCACAGTTCATTACAAAATAAAACCATTCACAATGCAACAAATGCATTGCTCATTATTAGTTCATGTAATGTTATAACACATTGTATTGATTCTAATAACTTGCGTGACAAGCAGACAGAAATCATGGCCATATGAGATAGCCTATGCCTGAATAACATGCTGCTGGAAATTAGACAACATACACACCACAAACCATATCTCGTTTATTTTTCCTAACATGGAATTCGGGATCCTACCAGATACGATCTTAAATTCTTTGACTTTGGCTATTGCTCTTTCTACATGTACTCTGTGTTTGGCTACTTTCTTTGTCATCTCGACATCTGTCACTTGAAGATTTGACTTTGCAATCGGAGGAATGTTCAGATTAAGGCCGAGCTCCTGCACATCTTTCTCAATGAGAAACCCCTTATCCACCATGAGCCCATCACCTTCCTTAAGGTAGCCACACTGAAGAAGACCTTTAAATAAATCTTTAATTTTGCACCGTCTGAATAGCTCTTGGTTAGAAATGGATCCTATGTAGAGATTAGATGCAAACATAATAGAGCCACAAGGATCACAGACTAACAGAGACTTGAGTGTGTTATTCGACTTGTAGGTCTGACTTTGCACTAACAGTGAGCTGGGTTTCTCTATCTTTATCTCTGTGCAATCAAGAATTGCAAAAGTTGTTGGAAACTCTGATTTGTAGTTCCCTGGCATGTTCTCCGTGATGATGTCCCTGTGTGGCCAGACAGACATATTACCTAACCTATCATACATGAAGTCGATCCAAGAACTAAATAAGACGCTAACATTTTGCATATCAATTTGAAATTTGAAAGCTAGCTCTTCCAAGTCGAAATTTTGTCTCAGTCTCATAAGCACAAGTATAAATTGTTGCCGTAAAGGCATATGCTGGATCTGCCAGCTCATTTTGTCATATATCAAGGGGATGTGTGTTTGTGGCGCGGTGTCGTTATCTGGTAGCGTGAAAAATGTACACAGTTTGTTAAATTCATCATAAGTGAACCCAGTGCAGTATTGGAAGTAGTTAGGCACACTGCTGTTGTTTATCACCTCGGCTGTTAGTGGGTAAGGAACCTGACAAGTTCGTATTTTCATCCTTAGCAAGTCATTTTCTTGTTCTTTTTGAGCTAGAAGAGTCTTCAGTCGTTCCAGTTCCTCCTGTTTTTCCTCCATCTGGATTTGCTCATCTGTGCACTCTGTAAACATAAGAATGAAATGATTAAAACTAGAAGACCTCAGCAACCTCATACACAGGGCTCACAGGAAATCAAGTGTACATGTGTGGCTTTGTCATCAATCTTTGTCACCATTTAGGTACATCTCCTGATTTATTTATTTATTTGACAGGGACAATGCAAACAAACATAGTGTCAAGATCAAGCATGTCACTAAAGTGTTGCATATAAAGTTTATAGCTATAGCTAATTTTCAACTCCTGTCCCTGGAAGGGCTTTTATACACAAAAAAAATTTACATGATTAGCTACTTCAATTGTATAAAAAAAAAAAAAAATAATAATAATAATAAAATAATAATAATACTAATAATAAAAATACTAATGATAGGAGGAAAGTCATTCAGTGTGGCCGTGACAAAAGCTATGGACTTTTAGAAATAAAGTGCTCAGACCAGGAAAGACACAGGTTGTAAATACCTCGAAAAAGCACATTGGTGACACATTCAATCTCAAACGTAAACATGAGTGCTAGTACCAAGTTATAAGGCAGATGGGAATTGTGAATGCATTACATTTGATGCAGAAATGTGGGAAAACATTAAATCTGAACTAGTTTGGTTCTTTTTTCAGCATTTCAGCATGTGCAGTGAGACTAATTGCATACCCAGTTTAATGACCAGAGTGCTCTCCTCTGTAGTGGTATCCTCCATTAATGATTCTGTTTTCATCTCTCCTGTTGTACCCATGTCTTGTAGATCACACCCGACACTGTTAATATGATACACATTTAATATTTCCAAAATAATATGTTTAGCAGGCTATATAACATCTGATGTGAATGTAATGTGTAATGTCATATGTGTACAGAATTGCATATTGTTATTATTAGCTTTTTCTTTGTATAAATGACCAAAAGAGAGTCACCTGATGTTTTCAGTATTATCTGGCATGCTATCAACTGGTGGTGTTTTCCTTGGTGGCACTCGCAACTTTGGTGGACGTCTCGCAGGTTTAACCTTACTACGGTCATTTGATGTCAATGCAGGCAGAGGATCAGGGTGAGCTGTTGTCGGTCGGCCTTCAACGAAGTGCTGGGTTTAAATGACAGAGAAATGGGTTAAATTACGTCTTAAGTATCTTAAAAGGAAATTCATACAGTACAGACACAGACAAACGGCAGACATGTCAGGCAAAACCTCTTTGGGCTCGCTAATGTTTAAGTTAGCTAACTGTTAGCTAACTAGCTAACTTAACGTAGATACGTTTAGCTTCTCCGGTGACGACAAATTGTAACAAATGATCAAAATAAAAAAAAAAGACTGTGCCACATGGTTAAAAACAGCGGTGAGTAACGATATAATTACCTTTGAGCACACATAGATGTGTTTGGCTGTGGAATGATTTCTCAGCCTGTCCAAAATCAGTGGCCGTCCACACAAACGTATCCATTTCATACACTTCTCCAGGTTACGGGCAGGTTTAGGGAACGGGTGAAACTGTACATCGCCCAGCCTTTCTGGGTACCTGTCGTCTGAGTTGCAAGTCACATAAGAACACCGTTTCACCATTATCTTAACGTTAGTTAATCGCCGTTGCTAGTCAACTACGACTCGTTTGTTTGTTTGTCGGACAAAATGGCGGATAGTCACAAAATATCTGCGCTGTGATTGGCTATATCGCCTGTCAATCAAGCTCCACACGAAGGGTGAATTTAGCGCTTAAAGGGATGGTTCACTTTGAAATGAATTTTTGATGTTTTAGCTCACCTCAAGGGCATCCAAGATGCAGGTGTCTTTGTTTCCACAGTCTTTTCAATTTTGATATTTTTAGGTCAAACCGTTCTTGTCATTAAACCCACGAGTCATTAAATCATGTTTAATTTGGACTTCTCTGTGAATGCTTTTTCAGGTGGACCCATGGGTGAACCCCATAAATCACCATTATATGACTGACAGTGACAGACAAGAACGGTTTGACCTAAAAATATCAAAATTGAAAACCCTGTGGAAACAAAGACACCTGCTTCTCGGATGAGGTAAGCTAAAACATATCAAAAATGTATTTCAAAGTGAACTATCCCTTTAACATTATGCACATTTATAACACAAGCCCTCAGTGATTGGCCAGCTGATGCCCACCAACGTCTGACTCCGAGCCAATGAGATTCCACTATTTGGCTTACGTCACTGTGCGTAATTAATATTCATTATTTTAGCGCAGATGGAGATGGGGGTTTTCCTCCTTGCAGCAGTTAGTTCATACTTTCGGTTTCAGATTCGGACCTTGTATGGAGTTTCACGCACAGAATTCTCATCTCTCTTGTATAGTTACTTATTTTAAACGATAATATATTGAATAAATGTGACGGCGACACTAAACACATCGATTCTTGAAATATCTTGAGAGTTTCAGTAGGTATTCAGGTACGTATCTTAGCCTAGTGTTTCCTTGTGTCTTTGCAAGCACATATTGTTGTCTGAATGCACTTCTGGGAAATATGTTAACATACACAATGTTTAAGTAAGTATCTACTAAGTTTGACTTGCAAACACATTGTGTAGATTAAACGCGCTGTTAAGTAAGCAAATCTAATTGAGCTTAAATGAATATGAACTTTTAGAGTGAAAGTGAAACTGATTTACCCACATTTAACAAAATACACCATTGTATTACTTTGTATGATCAGGTGAACACCAGTTTGGCCAGTCTGGAAGCCTAGGCTGGTTTTATATTATGTTACTAATTAATATTCATGCTATAATTATGATGAAATGTTTCTAAATCAAATTAATGTAAAAACATTCTCTCAATTCTTTTTTAATTACAGCAGACAGTATGTCAGGTCAAATTCAAAATAGAGATAATGCCTTTAAAATCCTTTTTTAAGGCAGATTAATGTCATCTGGTGGGTGTAAAAAAGAAAATTTTGTGTCGTTCATGGTGTGAACTTTTATTATTTTCAGTAAAATCAATGTACTATATTTTTGTTCAATAATATCTAAAACCAGTCTAGGCTTCACCTAGGTGTTCATCTGGTCTATTTGACCAGCTAAAACAAATAAAGTGCCCTCGAAAACCAGCCTGGAGATCAGTTTTACCTGTTTGTTTGTTTTCAGCAGGGTTGTAACATGATAACTACATGCACATCTCTGTTTGTTTGCCATCGCAAAGTGTATTTGATCCTAATCTTTGTTTGGCAGTGCTGGGGATGAAGGATAAGATGGCCGTTCCTCTGTTCGCCGTGTTGGCGCTGTGTGTGGACGTGTTCACAGTGATGTGTATTGCTGCCATCCAGCTATCCCCGTCCTTCACCAGTAACGCGTTCGTCACGCTGTGGGCCGGCGGACTGGCCCGAACCGCTCTCCTCCTCTTCGTGTCCTTCTCCTACCCCGGCAGCCCGGCGTGGATGAGAGGATTGGAGGGCGTTCAGACGGCTGTGGTTCACGGCCTCCTCTACCCGGTGTACATCTCGTTTCTCTGGGCTTGTGGGAGGTCTACTGTGGAGCTGCTGTGGGGATGGCACACCTGGCAAGGGGTAAGATGTGCCGTAACACATTTAACCCGTCTGGTGGTGTTCATTTGGGAATGGGAGTCACATCGACTTAAAAGGGACTGAACACCTGTTTTTGGTGTTCATATGTTTTTGTTCAATAATATTTTTAATGTTTCTAATTAATATTCATGCAATCGTTATGATAACATTTTTCTAATTGAAAGTAATGTAAAAAATTCTCTTAATTATTTTTCAAATTAAAGCTTAAAATAGATATAATGCCTTTAAAATCCTTTTTTTTATTTTTTTTATTTGTAGCAGTTTTTTATACAACACAAAACATATCCAAATCTCAAAAAAATGTTTACAGAAAGATTGTTATACATAAAATAAAATAAAACTAAACAAACAGCCCCCACCCACCCCTACGCCAGACAGAGAGAATACAAAAAAATTACACTTTAAATCACTTAATCAAAATTGGAAAAAAACTAAAAATAATAATAAATAATAAAATAAAATATAAATTGACAATGGAGAGATGAAATAAGAGAAAAGTCTTTAAAATCCCTTTTTAGTGTCATCTGGTGGGAGTATAAAAGAAACATTTTGTGTTGTTTGTGGTGTGAACTTTTATTATTTTTAGTAAAATCAATGTACTATATTTTTGTTTAATAATATTTTTATTTTGTTTTTGACAAAATAAAGTAAAAATCAAAATAAAGAGAATTTTGTTTTACTAATTAATATTCATGCAATAATTATGATTAAAAAAATGCCCAATTGAAATCAATGTAAAAAAAATATATTTTTATTATTTTTTAATTAAAGCTATATTTCATGTTAAAATAGAGAAAATGCCCTTTTTTTAAGGCGCATTAGTGTCATCTGGTGGGAGTAAAAAAAGAAAAATATCTAATGCCATAGTGTAACCGCTAGATTACTATATAGCTGCATATAAAGAGTCAATAGACATAATTACTTACCTTTATTAGATTGTGGATATATATTTAGACATTTTCAAAGATTTTTTTCAAGGTTTAGATATATTTTTGTTTGAAATATTGATTTGAAGTGTGAGTTTTACTACAGTCAAAACATTGAACATCAAAATTCAGTAAAAATGTAGCGAATTGAAAAGGAATTTTTAATCAGAATTCTATATTTTTATTAATTTTGCCATATTGATACAGCCACACCAGTTCAACTGTGTGTGTATAATAGTGTGTGTGTGTGTGTGTGTTTGAGTGGGTGTGTCTGTTGTAGATTTTAACTCCTTCCGTGCTGCCAGTGCTTAATTATTGATTTTATTTCACGTATTTGCAAAAACTTTCTTTGTGTTACAGTCTCACCAGTTTATATAGTGATTTTTCTTATCAATTCACAGAATTTCGTACCTTTCTGATGAAGTAGCGATTTAAAAAAACAAGCAAATTCAGTCTAAAACGTTTGAGCAACACCAGAAGGTTAAACGGCGAACACACAGTACGCCTAGAAGAGTATTTGAAACGTCAGGTGTGTGTGTGTGTGTATTAAAGCTTGATTATTTTTCAGCTTCTGCAGGGGTATTTGGTGTTGGCGTTGTCTCTGTTGCTGTGGAAGCGCCATGTACCCTCTCTCCTTCCAACAACCAAAGAGCAGAAAACACAGCCGAAGGGCAAGGCGTCGCTGCAAAGGCTTCTGGGATACATGAAGCCCTTCAGTGGACGCTTCGCAGCCGTCTTCTTCTTTGTGGTTATATCTTCTTTAGGTAAAGTTGTCATACATACAGTAGATGGCAGAAGTGATAATGGTTCAATTAAACCATCAAAATATGAGGAAAATATTTTATATAGGGTATTTATCTGACAAAATTAATTATTTTACCATATTAAAAAATGCACAGATAAGAACAAAAAACTGACTTATTTAGTTGTATTCATATTTCATAATATTTCATTGGTTCTCTCTTGTTTTTGCATGAGATCATAATTTCTGTTTAAAAAAAGTTATCACAAATAAAAATAATCCCTAAATATGATCATTCTTGTGCAACTGATACAATATAACATTAAAATATTATTTGAACTTTTTTTAGTTGTTTTACTGTATTGTTAGATGTATTATTTGTTTATTTAAATCATTACATCTTTGATTGTTTTTATTTTAATAATTTTTTTATTTTTTTTATTATTATTTATTTTAATTTCTTCTATTTTTAGACCCATTGCCTAGACAATACATAATGCCCTTTTATTTATTTATTTAAATATTTTATTGAACTTATTACAATTTGAGTAAATATTGTGTTATTAATGTATCTGGCTCTGTTTCCTGTTATGGCTTTATGATCTGTAAATAATTACCTTGAAATCTAGCCCACAGTGTAATTTAAAACTTATTTAATCTGTCAAATGAAAGAAAGTTGATCGCATATCACTTTTAGTTTCACTTTGGTCAAGTTTGCTCTCATAATTGTTCAGCACACAAAGTTAGCAAACACAGTGACTTCTCAGCAACTTACTGATTCTTCTAGATGTAGAGATTGCAGAATAAATTGGGTCAATGATGATAAAGCTTGTTTTTTGTTGTCTGTAAGCAAATTAGAAGATGAACATGCATATTGTGGCACAGGTGAAATGGCGATTCCTCACTACACCGGTAAAATGACAGACTGGATCATGAATGAAGACGAGCCCGAGGCCTTTAACCACGCCATCACTGTCATGACCCTGATGACCATCATGAGGTGAGGCCACGACACAGTCCTCTACTCAGCGAGGACACATCAAACTGATCAAAAGTGAAGACAATTATAATGATACAAAAAACAAATGAGTCAATGAGATACTATTGTAGTTTTTATTAATATATTGAATCAGCTTTTTTTGTAATTTCAGTTAGTTTTTAAGTAATTTTGTTGTGTTTTTGACATTTTTAAGATATATTATTCTTTATATTTGGAATTTATGACATATTTATGACACACACACGTGTGTGTGTGTCATAAATATGTCATATATATATATATATATATGTGTGTGTGTGTGTGTCATAAATATGTCATAAATTCAAAATATGAAGAATAATATATATTAAAAATGTCAAAAAATTAATACAAGAAAGATTGGGAATTTATGACATATATATATATATGTATATATATGTAAAATATGTGTGTGTGTGTGTGTGTGTGTGTGTGTGTCATAAATTCCAAATCTTTATATAGGGCTGTCAAACGATTAATCGCATCCACAATTAAAGTTTGTGTTTTTTTGCGTGGATGCACTGTGTATAATTATTTTAGATATATAAATACACACACATGCATGTATATTTAAGAAAAAAATATTATTTATATATAAAATATTTATATTTATATATATTATATATAAATCTATATACAATATATACATGAAAATATTTCTTAAATATATACAGGCATGTGTGTGTATTTTATATATATATATATATATATATATATATATAATTATGCACAGTGCACCCACATGTATTATGTAAACTTTAATGTTTGATAGCCCTAATATATATATATATATATATATATATAATTATTTGGAATTTATGACATATTTTTTACATATATATATTAATATGTCATAAATTCCAAATATTAAGAATATTCATAAATGTTTCCTGCGCACATCATATTAGAGTGATTTCTGAAGGATCATGTGACACTGAAGACTGGAGTAATGATGCTGAAAATTCAGCTTTGATCACAGGAATAAATTACACTTCACTGTATATAACAGAAAACAGCTGTTTTTTTTATTGTAAAAATATTTGTACTTTATTTTTGATCAACTAAATCCAGCTTTGGTGAGGAGAAACATTTAAAAAATGTCACGACCCCAAACTTTTGAAGTAGGCTTGAAACAATGTGTGATAAATGTGAGATAAGGTGAATAAACAGCACTTGAAATGCATTAAAGATAAAAGCACATCTCCTTTTCTGCAGCGCCGTGTGTGAGTTTGTGTGTGACCTCATCTACAACATCACCATGAGCCGAATACACACGTCCATCCAAGCACTCGTCTTCCAGTCGGTGCTGAAGCAAGATATCGCGTTCTTCGATAAAGCTTCCACAGGTAAACCTGCAAACAAACTGCATCAGTGCTGTTTATTAAATGTCACTTTTACTTTTGCATTTTTCAATTAAAGCTCTTAAAATAGAGACAATGCCTATAAAATAAATTTTTTGAAGGCAGATTAGTGTCATCAGGTGGGAGTAAAAAAAGAAAAATATCTGTAATGCCATAGTGTAACTAGAGCTGAAAAAAGTGATGACTAGTTGAATAAAGCCGCTATTTATGTTTTTTTTTTTTGCGAACAAAAAGTATTCTCGTCACTTGATAAACTTGAGGTTGAGCCACTGTCGTCACTATTTTAACGAGGTCTTTAATAACTTTCTGGGCCGGCAAGTTTCAATAACAGAAGCCAATGGAGGAGTGAGACAGCTCTCAGATTTAATCAGAAATATCTTAATTAGTGTCCCGAAGATGAACGAAAACAACATGAGGGAGAATCATTACTGACAGAGGTGAACTAACCCTTTTTAACATCAAAATTCAATAAAAATGTGACGAATTAAAACCGGTTCCTGTTCAGGTGACATCGTGTCCCGCATCACCACCGACACCAACACCATGAGCGAGTCTCTGAGTGAGAAGCTGAGTCTGCTCATGTGGTACTTCATGCGCATCATCTTCCTCTTCGGCTCCATGGTGTTGCTCTCCGTCAGACTGTCCGTCTTCACCGCTCTCGGCCTCCCCATCATCTGGATCATCCCAGAATTCTCCGGCCGGTTCTATCAGGTAACATTAATTTGATCAAATATGAGTCGTATAGTAGTGGCCGCGGGTCCTTAACGTGTCTTCAATAAAGGTTTCCTAATAAAAGGCCTTAAAAAGTATGCAAATGTCTCTTAAATTCAGATTCACATTTACTTCTCCAGTCTGACGGAGCCAATGTCCGTCAAATAACCAGTGATGATTCTGATTTTATTACATAAACGGCAATTGATAATGATAATTTCATTTAATTTCACATCGTAACTCACTAACTTTTAAAAAAGCTTTTGCTGATAATTTACTCACCCCCATGTGATTCAAGATGTCCACGTCTTTCTTTCTTCAGTCGAAAAGAAATGAAGGTTTTTGATGAAAACATTCCAGGATTTTCTCCATATAATGGACTTCAATGGGGTCCAAACGGTTCAAGGTCCAAAAGAGAGTTTCAGTGCAGCTTCAAAGGGCTTTAAACGACTCCAGACGATGAATAAGGGTCTTATCAAGCGAAACGAGCGCTCATTTAATAATTAATAAAAAATTTTAAGTTGACTTTGACTCTCCTGTTCGAACTCGTTTATCACAATGAACAAATCTTTTTTGTGTCATTTGGTTCATTCAATGAACGAAATGAACGAATTGACTCTGAAAAAGATTCGTTCATTTTGATGAACGAGTTCAAACAGGAGAGTCACGAATGCGCATCACAGAACAGAGCAAGGCGAGCATTTGAGCTTATAAAACTTAAATTTTGCTATTTATTTATTAAATGAGCGCTCGTTTCGCTTGATAAGACCCTTATTCATCGTCTGGAATCGTTTAAAGCCCTTTGAACCATTTGCAGTTTGCACTGAAACTCTCGTTTGGACCTTGAACTGTTTGGACCCCATTGAAGTCCATTATATGTCTTCATCAAAAACCTTAATTTCTTTTCGACTGAAGAAAGAAAGACATGGACATCTTGGATGACATGGGGGCGAGTAAATTATAGGGATGCACGATATATCGGCCACATTATCGGTATCGGCCGATATATGATCATTTTTAATGTTATCGTTATCGGCCCCAAAACAACATTTAGCCGATATCTAAAAGCCGATAAATAATGTATTATATCCTTTAGATGCGCACTGTTCAACGTGATGCTTTTAAATTGCTTGAAATACGATTGAAATCACTTTAAAAAGTAAAATCCAGTTAAAGTGCAAAAATGTGCAGCGCAAGTCTGTCATATCGGCTACACAATATTAAAATAAGAACATCATAATTGTGTTTGTATCTTGGCTTTTAAGGAGGAAACTTTTTTTGATAATCAGGCTCTCAAAAATTGTCTTAAAAACGTGGATTTAGATTTATCGGCCGATATATCGGTTATCGGCTTTCCAATACAAAGAATTATCGGTTATCGGTATCGGCCAAAATTGTCATATCGGTGCATCCCTAGTAAATTATCAGCAAAAGTTTTTTTAAAAGTGAACTACTCCTTTAAGTGCATTTGTGTTGATGTGTGCCTCAGAAACTTTCTGCACAAGTGCAAGAATCTCTGGCGAAAGCCAACGACGTTGCGACGGAAACGTTCTCCTCCATGAAGACGGTCCGGAGCTTTGCTAACGAGGACGGAGAAACCGAGAGGTACAAGAAGTGTTTGGAAGGCACTTACGCCCTGAACAAAGTGGAAGCCGCTGCTTACGCCGCCTCAACGTGGACCAATAGTGTGAGTTTTGTTGGTATAATGCACATTTTTCCAGACATATTCTATGCATTCTGTGCACAGTATTAATTTTGAACACGTGTGACCACAAAACCAGTCAATTTTGCTGAATAAATAAGCTTTCCATTGATGTATGGTTTGGTAGGATCGTTAATTTTGACCCATACAGTGTATCGTTGGCTAATATACCCGTGCGACTCGTGACTGGTTTTGTGATCCTGGGTCACACACTGCTTTGAATATAAGAGTGATTTCAAAAGTCAGTGTTTGAAATCAAATGTGCATTTTTCAGATGTCCAGTCTGGCTTTGAAAGTCAGTATACTGTACTATGGAGGACGGCTCGTGACAGGAAGTGATGTCAGTAGCGGTGATTTGGTGTCGTTCGTGCTGTATGAGCTTCAGTTCACTTCAGCTGTGGAGGTAATGCCTCAAACCCTGTGTTTGTTTGACCACAGCCATCATGCTAAAGCAAGCGTCACTATTAAACACCTTTAACCCTTTAAGAACTTTTGTGCGTGCTGGTCAAAAATGTCCAAAATATTTTTATTTATTTAAATGAAATTAATGTACGATATTTCAGTTCGATAATGTTTTTTATTTAATATTTAGTATTTTTAGGGGATTTTTATGGTAATAAATTATATTTGCGCTGTATTTATAATCCATTTATTAAATTTTTGAGCATCTATTAAAAATTTTATTTCCAATTTAAACTGTCGTAGTTCTTGAATGCTTTAGAGGACGGATTTAATTTTGATCTCTTTTTAAAGACAACACTTGGCAGATTATTGCTGAAGTGAAAACGTTTTAAAAGTAAGAAAAAGTTACGGAACAAGAAAAGTTACTGAATTTTAAGAAAAGTTACTGAATTTTAAGAAAAGTTACTGAATTTTATGTTTATTTTAGGGCTGTCAAACAATTAATCGTGATTAATCGCATCCAACATAAATTTTTGAGTTTGCATTATATATGTGTGTGTACTGTGTATAATTATTTTGTATATATAAATGCACACACATGTATACATTTAAGAAAAATATAATTAATGTTTATATACATTAAGTCTATATTTCTTAAATACACATGCATATATAAATAATAATTAAAATTATTTAAAATAATTATACATAGTACCCACACATATATTATGTAAACACACACTTTTATTTTGGATGCGATTAATCACGATTAATCGTTTCACAGCTTTAGAATATATATATGAAATATATATTTTCAAAAACATGTTTTACTCCAAAACTGTGAGAAAATCAAAGCCATATATCGAAATAAGTTGTGTTCAGAATTTGAGGTTAATAAAATAAGCTTTGCGTGAAATGTTGTTCGGCTGCAGTACCGAACGCTTCCACTAGAGGAAATTTGTCTCCCATTCATTTCCAATGCGCTCATTTTTGACCACGAGGAGCATGAGAGATTTTTTTTCAGGACCATTTAACCTGTTCGAATCATGTCCGTGATTTTATTTTGTGTTCACACAGCAAGTGCCAAAACCTTTACCAAGTTTCGTACCATTCCAATGAAGAAAAACATTCCAAAAATAACAAATGTAAACTTTTTTTGGACCGAAGAGCACCAGAATCCATTAACCTTTGCATGAGAAACCACCACTGTCTGTTTCCTAGTCCAGTTTGTGCCTTGAAACCCCTGCCGCTCGTATCACAGGTGCTGATGTCCTACTGGCCGCATGTAAAGAAGGCGGTCGGCGCTTCAGAAAAGATCTTCGAGTATGTGGACCGAAAGCCGGATGTTCCTCCAGACGGGTCTCTCGCCCCTCCAACTCTGAAAGGACACGTGTGCTTCAGAAATATCACCTTTGCTTATCCGAATCGACCGGACACTGATGTGCTGAAGGTGTGCACTGAAAAGCTCTTACTATATTTCACAAAATATAATGCTTTAATTACTGTATTTAATGCACTAAAAAAAATCTCATTCTCATTACTGTAATGAAAAAACAACAAAATATTATGGTATAATTAATTAATAACAAAGTAAAATTATGGAAACTTGTTTTCGCTACTGTATAAAAAATAAAAAGGTAATTGCGAGTTTTTATCTCACAATTCTGACTTTTCTCTTTTTTTTTCTTCTCTGAATTGCATGATATAAAGTCAGAATTGTGAGTTATAAAGTAAAAATTGTGAGAAAGTATTCAGAATTATGGGAAAAGATTCAGAAGTATGAGATATAAAGTCAGAATTGGGAGATATTAAGTCAGAATTGTGACATATAAATTCATAATTGGGAGGTATAAAGTAAGAATTATGAGAAAGCATTCAGAATTATGAGAAAAAATTCAAAAGTATGAGAAATAAATTCATAATTGGGAGGTTTTAAGTCAAAATTGTGAGATATTAAGTCAGTTGTGAGACATAGTCATAATTGGGAGATATAAAGTCAAAATTGTGAGATATAAAGTCAGAATTGGGAGATATTAAGTCATAATTGTGACATATAAAGTCATAATTGGGAGATATAAAGTCAGAATTATTAGAAAAAAAATCAGAATTATGAGATATAAAGTCCGAATGGGGAGATATAAAGTCAAAATAATGAGATATAAAGTCCAAATTGCGAGAAAAAAAGTCAAAATTGTGAGATAAAGTCGGAATTGTAAGATATAAAGTCAGAATTATCTTTTAAATATTTTTTTTCCCATCTCAGAAACAAGCAATGTTCGGAAAGGATATTTGTTTTCAATAACCCTACAAGTTCAGAAAATATTCAATATTTTAAATATGAGGGAAGGACAAAACACAAATCTTGGTTAAGGTATTGATCTGACAAAATGATTTGCCAAACTACAGCTACAAAAAACTGCATATAAATACAAAAGTCTGACAGGAAGACGCAAACATTGACTACAACATAATCAATTTGACATGTTTCATCGTGTTATTATCACAAAAATGTACTCCAAGCATAAAAACACAATATTTGAATAAAGGATGATGTCAATTTTTATGGATTGGATATCTGGTTTTGCCCATTCTGTTTGTTGAATGTAAAACGGTGTTGCTGGTGCTTCCAGAGCGTCTCTCTCGAGCTGAAGCCGGGCCAGATCACGGCTCTAGTGGGTCCGTCAGGTTCTGGAAAAACCACTATTGTGAGTTTGCTGGAGAGATTCTACCAGCCTCAAAATGGGCAGATCTTATTGGACCAGAAGCCACTGTTGAGCTACAAGGACAAATATCTGCATGAGAAGGTATCCTGTTATTTGCTGTGAATATGATTAAAAGCGCCTGCGTTTCTTTGTTTGCTGAGCTTGTTTAACCTCCGCCCTCTCAGATCAGTGTGGTGTCACAGGAGCCGGTTCTGTTCGCTCGGTCCGTGCTGGAAAACATCAGATACGGCAAAGAAGACGCCTCGGATGAAGACGTACGCGCTGCTGCCAAGCTGGCCAATGCAGATGACTTCATTTCTAGTTTACCTAAAGGATATGACACGGGTGAGTCTTGAACACTTCACTGTAATAGCTCATGGCCAGATTAAAGGAGTAGTTCACTTTTAAAAAAAACTTTCGTTGATAATTTACTCGCCCCCATGTCATCCAAGATGTCCACGTCTTTCTTTCTTCGGTCGAAAAGAAATGAAGGTTTTTGATGAAAACATTCCAAGATTTTCTTCATATAATGGACTTCAATGGGGTCCAAACGGTTCAAGGTCCAAATGAGAGTTTCACTGCAGCTTCAAAGGGTTTTAAACGACAGCAGACGATGAATAAGGGTTTTATCAAGCGAAACAATTGGTAATTTCAAAAATAAATAAAAAAGTTTAAGTTTTATAAGCTCAAATGCTCGCCTTGCTCTGTTCTGTGATGCGGGTTCGTGACGAACTCGTTCATCTAAATGAACGGATCTTTTTTCGAGTCATGACTCGAAGGTTCCTTAATAAGACCCGTATTCATCGTCTGGTGTCGTTTAAAGCCCTTTGAAGCTGCGCTGAAACTCTCATTTGGACCTTGAACCGTTTGGACCCCATTGAAGTCCATTATATGGACATTATATACTGTATATATCTCTGATGTAAAGTTGTTTTAGAGAGTCAGGGGTGTTGTTTGGTGTCCGTCAGATGCTGGAGAGAAGGGCGGCCAGGTTTCCGGAGGACAGAAGCAGCGCATCGCCATCGCCAGAGCTCTGATTCAGAGACCGCAGGTTCTGGTTCTGGATGACGCCACCAGCTCGCTGGACACTGAGAGCGAACACAGGGTACGATGATGTCCACCGGACTTTTGAACAACACTTTCTTTTTTTCACTGCTATATTTCCTAAATGCCATAATCATTTGTTGCACACAATCAATGAGCTCATTGCATTAAATTACTACATTGTTCAAATTAATACATTTTTTAGCTAACTGTATATTATATATGAAGGTATCAGCCAATCCAGTCATAAGACATATGATATTTTGTAACATCCTAAAACAAATGATGCCATGATGGTGGATTAGCACCTGTAGAATTTGCTTTTGTTGAAAGCCCAGATAAAAGTAAAAAAGCTACTATTTGACTTTATTTTCGTAATGTTTGGACTTTAATATCGTAATGTTTCGACTTAAATCTCAATGTTTCGACTTTAATGTCGTAATGTTTAGACTTAAATCTCGTAATGTTTGGACTTTAATATCGTAATGTTTCGACTTAAATCTCATAATGTTTTAACTTTTATTCTCGTAATGTTTCGACTTTAATGTCGTAATATTTCGACTTAAATCTCGTAATGTTTTGACTTTAATCTCGAAATGTTTCGACTTTGATCTTTTAATGTTTCTGACTTTAATTTCGTAATGTTTCGACTTAAATCTCATAATGTTTTAACTTTTATCTCGTAATGTTTCGACTTAAATCTCGTAATGTTTCGACTTTAATCTCGAAATGTTTCGATTTTAATCTTTTAATTTTTTTGACTTTAATCTCGTAATGTTTCGACTTAAGTCTCGTAATGTTTCAACTTTTATCTGGAAATGTTTCGACTTTAATCTCGAAATGTTTCGACTTTAATCTCGAAATGTTTCGACTTAAATCTCGTAATTTTCCGATTTTAATCTCGTAATGTTTCGGCTGTATTATCGAAATGTTTCGACTTAAATCTCGAAATGTTTGGACTTAAATCTCGAAATGTTTGGACTTTATTCTCGAAATGTTTGGACTTTAATCTGGAAATTTTCGACTTTAATCTTGTAATGTTTTGACTTTAATCTTGAAATGTCTCGACTTTAATCTCGTGATGTTTCGACTTTAATCTCATAATGTTTTGACTTTAATCTCGAAATGTTTTGACTTTAATCTCGTAATGTTTCGATTTTAATCTCGTAATGTTTCGACTTTAATCTCGTAATGTTTCGACTTTAATCTCGAAATGTTTTGACTTTAATCTCGAAATGTTTTGACTTTAATCTCGAAATGTTTTGACTTTAATCTCGAAATGTTTTGACTTTAATCTCAAAATGTTTGGACTTTATTCTCGAAATGTTTCAACTTTAATCTCGTAATGTTTTGACTTAAATTTCGTAATGTTTTGACTTTAATCTCGAAATGTTTCGACTTTAGTCTTTTAATGTTTCGACTTTAATCTCGTAATGTTTTACTTTATTCTCGTAATTTTAAATTATTATTATTTTATTTTATTTTTTTACTTTGCGGTTCCGGGCTTCCGTAAAAGTCACCATTGTTTTTATTGTGCTTCATAAATGAGTAGAGATTGTGATTGATCGGTGTCTGATTTTCCTCGTCCTCTCGGTCTCTCAGGTGTACAGCGCTCTGAGGAAGGAGCTGAAGAGCTGCACGGTTCTGCTCATCACACACAGACTGAGCGGCGTGGAGAACGCAGATCACATCGTCTTCCTCCGAGAAGGAGAAGTGGTGGAGGAGGGAAACCATCAGCAACTGCTGGCCAAACAAGGATACTACGCAGAGTTCGCCAAACAACAGAATACAGCAATCCATCGCAACAACGCAGAAAACGTTACAAGCACCGACCAATGATCGTCTGCATCAGCTATCATGTGATATCAGCACAAATTAGATCACACGCTTTTGCATTTTTTTCTCCATTAGTACTAGCAGAGAATGTCTAATAAGGGGAGATCTTTCACTCTCAGTAAACTTCCGGCTTCTGAACTGGTTGCAGTTTCACTCCGGCTCCACATGAGGGCGCTCACAGGACGAGTGCAGAATCCACTTTTCTCAGGATATAATTTTTTGTCTAGTAATTTGAATGTTGTATCGCCCCCAGTGGAACTCTGGTGGAACTGCAACCAAAATTCGGTGCAATTGTACTTAGGGAGTAGCTAGGCTTTCCGTGGACGGGCTCTGGTTTAGTACTTATTTCTCAGCTGTTTATTTATGTAAATTCTGCTAGTGTTTTTAAATTAGGTGTAAATATCACAAAAACGCGAGAAAAGATATGGGTGAATATCACTAAAATATGTCCAGGTTTTGTTTCACCCCCAAATCCATTATTTTGGAAATATAGAAAATGTATTTTAACCCATTTTTAGAATTTTATTGTGACTTATTTTTCCCAATTGAAACAAAATGCATAATGTGCACACAAAACTAACTACTGCACACATATTATATTTCATAGTGTTCACAAGAGTATCCTTTGGATATGTATTATATTTCCAGTCCATTATGTAATGCATAGTTAAATTGCACAGATATGTGTTGTAAGTTGCACTAAACCATTTTTTTTTAAATTAGTTTACATGATTTACATCAGGATACCCTAAATTTAAATGGTTATTTTAAATGTAAAGCTAGTAAATCGCTTTTTAAACAATTTCCCAGCGCTCAAACCATATTTGTTTTTACACTTTTTGTTCTGAATTTTTTTTCTTGGCTATATAAATGATAGAGTTATGCAAAGCAGTTCTCCCCCTGTGGTTGATATATGTTCATGTTTTAAATAAACATATATTGATTTTTAACTTTCATTTATGTCATTTAATTTTTTCCTTTTTATTTAATGCTTAATAGATCATTTGTTCACTTTCTTAAAAAATGATGTTGATTGAAATGAATCGTTATAGACCTATATCTCTACCCAATCATGTTTGAGAATGATTTATTATTTTTTAAAAAGCTTAATATAATTTAGAAATTGAGGGTTAGGAGTGCAAATATGTACTTATAAACCTGAAAGTTAATAATTGAATATATTTTAAAATATGATAAAGGAAGTAAAATGGTTTCAGTTCACTGTAGAAATACATTTAACATGCTAAATAGGTAATACAGTATGTCTGCTGCTCAAAAACTCTATTAAAACATTATTATTGTTATTTAATAATTTAAACATTTTAGGTTCGTTTCTTTGTCATAATATAATCTTAAAATCCTCACTAGATGGTAACCGTGAGTCATATATAAACTCCCTGGGCGTGTCTAACGGTGGAACAGCGTCAGACTCAGCCAATAAGAAATCAGCTTCTGAGGCGGGACGAATTCTGATTGGTCATTGGCGTTTTTATATAAAAACCCAGGAGCGGAAATTGAAAGGCGCCATTTGCTAGTTGTACGGCGCGGGGAAGCTCGAGCATAAGGAGCTGAATAACAATAAAACGGGGGCGAAAACGCAGGATTCCGCGACGCAAAACATTCGCGATCCATCCGAATGGAGGCAGCCATCAACCCGTCTCTTGACAGGTAGTATTGGCGTGCCTTCGGAGCCTATAAACTAATCCTATGCGTGTCTGTAATCACAAAGGATGAGGAAAAGGGGAGGAAGCGTTTGTTTACAAGTTCATTTTCTTTCTTGTATCTCATAGTGGATGTTAAAACGGCGTTTAAAACGAGTTCCAGCCTTTATAATAATAGCATGCAGCGAGCATCACTGTGTTGTGGGTCTGTACTGCATCATTTCCCTCCGCCATCTTCAGCATTTAAAGGGCCACACTCACTGAAACACACATAATGTAAGTGCAGTGTAATGAATGAATGGGTCATGTTTGAGTTGTTATTGTGTGTGTGTTTGTGGGGAGAGCTGTGCTGTTTGGGCATGAATGCAGCGAACACTTGTTTACAAACAGAGAATAGGCGGGACAGACTGAATGACAGTTAGTAACGTTAGCTTTACAGTATTTATGTTCTATACAGTTGATTTTGTCCTGATGCTAATGCACTACCATTTCCTGCATGAGATGAATTTTGAATTAATGTGTCTGTAATTATTTCATATATCTTCTTAATGGCCCTTTCCACTGTACGAGTTTTTATGGCTTGTAAGTTAAACCATTTGTTGAAATTGATACTGGAAGCAGTCATTAGAAATGGTTTAAAATGATAAATGTTTCCAGTAAAAATGTGTTCATAAAGGTTATCTATCTATCTATCTATCTATCTATCTATCTATCTATCTATCTATCTAAATTGTGTCATGATTTATTCAAAAATATGATGCAGCACAATGGTTTTCAAAATTGATAAGTAGTGTTAATAAATGTTTCTTGAGCAGCATATAATCATTACAATAGAATTATTTCTGAAGGATACACACACAAATATGAAACTTAAAGTTGCAATGTAAAGTACAATAGTAACTCTAAATATAATAAACACTATTTTAACAAGAATGTCCATTCTCCAAAAATAAAAAAGTGTATATACACTGTATTTCCATTAGTGCTGTCAAATGAATTAAACTTGATTATACATCTAGTATAAAAGTTTGTATTGATGTAAAAACTTATGTTCGGTGCAATTAATCGATTTGACAGCACTAATAAATATATAAAAGTGTTCAATATGCAATATTATACTGTATAACTGCATTTATATATGTGTGCATATTTTTTATATGTTATGTTTATTTTTTAAATGTTGTGTATATTAAGTAAAGGTATTATGGGTAATTGTTATTGTAGCTCTAGTTTGCAGTTGCAGTATTCAATATGCAATATACTATACATATAATTGCATTATTTGTTTCATATTAATATTTGAATGTCCTTATCCTTCAGACCAGAGGTTAAATGCTGCTATTTCTCTGGTGTTTGTATATGTTTGTGTGGCAGCAGTTCTGTGGGAGTGAGTCTGTCTGTCATGAGTGGGATGGAGCCGAGTTCGGGAAAGCGGATCCGTAAACCGTCTCTGCTGTACGAGGGCTTCGAGAGCCCGTCTCTGCCCCACGCGCCTCCACCCGGTCCTCCTCCACCCCAACAGCCCTCGGTGAACGACTCGGGCCGACTGGGACGCACCACCAACCAGCTGCAGTTCCTACACAAGGTCCTGGTCAAAGCGTTGTGGCGGCATCATTTCGCGTGGCCTTTTCATGAACCCGTGGACGCAGTCCGACTCGGCTTACCTGTGAGTGAACGATCACTTTCTGAGACCAAATCAGCCAAAAAATGTGAATTCTGTCATTAATGAAAACTCATCTCCTCCGTGATAAAAAAATGAAAATTAGCCCATGATTTGCTCACTCTCAAGTCACCCTAGGTGTATATGACATTTTTCTTTCAGACGAATATAATCAGTTATATTAAAAATGTCCTGGCTCTTCCAAGCTTTGTAATGGAAGTGAATGGATGTTTTTCTGTTTTGAATGCCATCAAAGCGCATCTATCCATCATAAAAGTGCATCTATCCATCATAAAAGTGCATCTATCCATCATAAAAGTGCATCTATCCATCATAAGTGCATCCATCCATCTGTCCATCATAAGTGCATCCATCATTAAAGTCCATCCATCCATCATAAGTGCATCTGTCCATCATAAAAGTGCATCTATCCATAATAAAAGTGCATCTGTCCATCATAAGTGCATCTATCCATCATAAAAGTGCATCTATCCATAATAAAAGTGCATCCATCCATCATTAAAGTGCATCTATCCATCATAAGTGCATCCATCCATCATTAAAGTCCATCCATCATCATTAAAGTCCATCCATCCATCATTAAAGTCCATCCATCCATCATTTAAGTCCATCCATCCATCATTTAAGTCCATCCATCCATCATTTAAGTCCATCCATCCATCATTTAAGTCCATCCATCCATCATTTAAGTCCATCCATCATTTAATCCATCCATCCATCATTTAAGTCCATCCATCCATCATTTAAGTCCATCCATCCATCATTAAAGTCCATCCATCCATGATAAAAGTGCATCCATCCATCATAAAAGTGCTAAATTGTCATTATTCACTCGTGTTGTTCTAAAACCATGTGCTTGGCATTTTATTAATGTGTCCACAAAGAAATCCTCAAAAGTTATTTCAAATTCAATATTACTGTTTTATCATACTTTTGATTTAAATGATAACTGGTGCCTGGTGAGACTTTATATATACAGTACAGTCAAACCTAAATTTATTCAGACACCTTCTACATTTCTCACATTATCTCAGTTTATTCGCAATAGTTTATAAAATGGTGATAAACATGAGCAGAACTCAGTGGATATTTGACTGGTTTTGTCCGTCCTTCTGTTGGACTCTCACACATGAATTATGTCGAATATCTGTTAAATTTAACTCCACAATTAGTTAACACCAGGTTAGCTCAACCAGCTTGATGTTCTTCAGTGTGTGTGTGTGTGTGTGTGTGTGTAAAAAGAGCATTAGCAATTACAGAAAACACACTTCAGCAGAACATGATCAGCTCAAAGTGGAGGACTCATATTTGACTGGTAGCACAGTATGAAGAATATTTGGGTGTAATATGTCAGTTTACTTTATTTTGCTCTCCTCACTTACAGAAATGATCTATAGTGTCCTGCACAAATGTCTGAATAATGTTTGGTTTGACCGTATGTTGTTGTAAGTTGTATCCGATCACTTTCAGACTCTTATTACCAATAGTCTGACAGCACGTCTACAAGCGTTGACCTTCCCCATATTCATATGCACAGATGATATGATCTCCAGTGATGCCTGTTTTGCTTTCAGGACTACCATAAGATCATTAAACAGCCGATGGACATGGGCTCCATCAAGAGACGGCTGGAGAATAACTACTACTGCAGCGCCGACGAATGCCTGCAGGACTTCAATACCATGTTCACTAACTGCTACATTTACAATAAGGTGTGTGTGTGTGTGTGTGTGTGTGTGTGTGTGTTGCAATGGAGGCATTAGTTGGATTGGGAATCAAGTGCTTGTTATAAGGTTAAAATTTTGATTCTTTTGTGAGCATTTCAATATGAAACTAATATATATCCTCATTACATGCAAAGTGAGATATTTCAAGCCTTTATTTGTTATAATAGTTTACAGATACGAAAACCTTTGGATCTGTAATCCATAATCATCACTATTATAACAAATAAAGGCTTGAAATATCTCACTTTGCATGTAATGAGTCTATATAATATATTAGTTTCACCTTTAAAGTTGAATTACTGAAATAAATGAACTTTTGCACGATTTTCAAATTTTTCGACTTTCACCTGTATAGCCAACCTTAGTTAATAAGCACATAGTGCACTAAAATAAAATGTGACTAATTCAAATGGTTATAGGTGACATTTCATATTTAAAATAAGAGATTATACTTTCTAGACGTACTTGAACCATGCATGTATTAATATATGTCCACCTACACTACCGTTCAAAAGTTTGGGCTCAGGAAAATAAACAAATATTACCAATAGTCAGCAATAAAACCAATTTATTCATCAAGGGCACATTAAATTGATCAAAGTGACAAATGTATAATATTTCCAATGATTCCATTTCAAATAAATGCTCAAGAATCAAAGAATCCAAAAAAAATATATATATCATCACGATTTCCACTAAAATCTTAAACCGTGTTCAACATTGATAATATTCATAAATGTTTCTTGATCCTCAGATCCTCATATTAGAGTGATTTCTGAAGGATCAAATGACACTGAAGACTGGAGTAATGATGCTGAAAATCACAGGAATAAATTACACTTTACTAGATATTCACATAGAAAACAGCTATTTAACATTGGAATAATATTTCACTATTTTACTGTATTTTTAATAAAATAAGTGCAGCTTTGGTGTTTTTTCAAAAACATCCTTCCAACCCCAAACAATTAAACGGTTTTATGTAATAAAGAGAAAAGTTTTCAGAGGGAATGTCCAAATAATTTGTGTTTTTTGCAGGTAAGAGGGGAATGCAAACATGTGCGATAGATATTTTCCACATTTTTCTTCATGTCCCTTTAGAGGCTCCGTACTAATGTCCATAACTGATGCTGCTGCGTTGTTTCTCAGCCCACAGATGACATTGTGCTGATGGCACAGTCTCTGGAGAAGGTCTTCTTACAGAAAGTTGCCCAGATGCCCCCGGATGAGGTCGAGTTTCTCCCTCCGACTCCTAAAGGTAGAGGAGCTAAAACCATTAAAGGTCGCAGAGGCAGAGGTGAGTTGCACAGTCATAATCTAGCACAGTCAGCCCCTTTACATGTTAAAGTGTTAAAGAGGCACTACACTATTAGGCTACAAACCTCAAAACGTTTCTAATATCTGTTGTAACTCTAGTTCAATGTACACATCTGAATTAAACATGCAAATAATAATAATAATAAATAATAATAGAAATAACAAAACTCCACTGAAAACAAAACAGGTATAATATATATAATGCTGAAGGTGTGCACTGAAAAAGCTCTTATTATATTTCACAAAATTATGTTTTGCTTGAAGAAAATGAAGCCTGTTTTTTATTATGACACTCTATTTGACAATGAAGCACATTTTAATGCTTTAATTACTGTAATGCATGGAAAAAATCTCATTCTCATTACTGTAATGTAAAAAAAAAATCTACAAAATATATTAATATGGTGACACATTATGGTAAAATTAATTTATAACAAAGTAAAATGATGGAAATTCGTGTCCTCTACTGTATAAAAAATAAAAAGGTAATTGCGACTTTTTATGTTACAATTCTGACTCCTTTTTTTCTTCTCAGAATTGCATGATAAAAGTCAGAATTGTGAGATATAAAGTCAGAAATGTGAGTTATAAAGTAAAAATTGTGAGATAAGGTCAGAATTGTGAGATATAAAGTCAGAATTGTGAGTTATAAAGTCAGAATTGTGAGTTATAAAGTCAGAATTGTGAGATATAAAGTCAAAATTGTGATATAAAGTCAGAATTGTGAGATATAAAGTCAGAATTGTGAGTTATAAAGTCAGAATTGTGAGATATAAAGTCAGAATTGTGAGATATGAAGTCAGAATTGTGAGATATGAAGTCAGAATTGTGAGAAAAGCATTCAGAATTATGATAAAAAATTCAGAAGTATGAGATATAAAGTCAGAATTGCGAGAAAAAAAGTCAGAAATATGAGAAATAAAGTCAGACTTTGGTTACAAGGTCGAGGCGGGGCTCATTTGCATATTCGTAGAACCACGCATACTAAATGAGGCAGTTTTAAGGAATTAAATGATTGACTACAGGGGGACTTTAAGTGGTTAATTCCTCTTTCTGTCTCTTTGGCAAACTTTGTGATATTTGTGTCTGATAGTGTATTGTCTCCATCAGGGGGAGGAAGTGTGCAGACGGCTCACCAGGTGCCGGCGGTGTCTCAGTCGGCCTACTCTCCGTCATCCCCCGAGACGCCAGATTCACGCTTCTCCACTCCTCCACAGACCCTGCTGAGCAACACCGGCCCTCCCACACCACTGATGACCCCCCCACCCACTCAACCCACGGCAAAGGTACACACACACACACACACACACTCACACTATCACACACACTCACTCAAACTCTCTCTCACACACTCACTCGCACACACACGCACACTCACACAGTCTCACAGACACGCACTCAAACTCTCTCTCACACACACACACACACACTCTCACTCGCACCCACACAGGCTTTTTTAATAATTGGTTTAATATTTTTTTAATAACTTGCACACACTCTTACACATACACACACACACACACACACACACTCAAATGTAGGTGATTTGGTCCACACAATGTAATATAAACAGAAACACACACACTCACACACGCACAAAACTTTTTTAATAATTGGTTTAATATTTTTTTAATAACTTACACACACTCTTACACACTCATTTGGGACATTTGGTCCACACAATGTAATATAAACAGAAACACACACACACCCACACACACACACTCTCAAAACTTTTTTAATAATTGGTTTAATATTTTTTTAATAACTTACACACACTCTTACACACGCACACACACACACACACACACTCAAATGTAGGTGATTTTCAGGTTTTACTATACTTGTGGTCCACACAATGTAATATAAACAGAAACACACACACGCACTGACTCAGTCACACACAAAACTTTTTAATAATTGGTTTTAATATTTTTTTTTAATAGCACACACACACACACACACTCACAAAAATGCACAAGTCCACAATGTATAGAGATCTGTACTCAGAGGAAACTGTCTAAGTTATGTATTTCAGAAATGTACATATACAAATCACAGTTAGCGAAACAAGTATTAATTTAAACAATGTAATACTTTAATGCAGAAACAATGAGCTCACTGAGTAATGAATACTTGTTTGTTAACAAATGATTATGACATTTAGAAAATGAGTAAGAAAAGATTGCTTTTTATAATCACTGAAGCTGTCACTCAGTTTAATTCGATACTATATATTACAACATTTAATATATATATTTATATATATTGTGCAGTAAATCTCCCCAAAATCTGAGACTAAATACACTGTAGATGTAGTTAATCCTGCTTGTGCGAGTCTTCACAAGCCATTGGTCTGTGATTGGCTTGTGTTTTGCCATTGCTCTCATTTACAGCTTCTGATTGGTTGATTTGAAGTATGTAGATATCACGGCCACTGAAAGCGACGCTTATGTCTCTGTTGTCTGCAGAAGAAGGGCGTGAAGCGTAAAGCCGACACCACCACTCCCACTACCCTCGGCTTCCCCGTGACCTCGGCGGCTCGGATGGGAGGAATGGGGAAAGGTCACGGAGAGATTCCTCACTCTCTGTCCTCCACGCCTGTAATCTGCTCTCCCGGTACAGGAGTGAACGAGCCCACGCTCCTCCAGCCCGCCTCGGGTCGACCCCTGTCCCGTCGGCCAATCAAACCTCCCCGTAAAGACCTCCCCGAGTCCGTGCGACCCCATCAGCCCTCGCGGCGCGGGAAACTTAGCAAGCAGCTTCGCTACTGTAGCGGCGTCCTTAAAGAACTGCTGTGCAAGAAACATGCGGCGTACGCCTGGCCCTTCTACAAACCCGTGGACACGTCAACACTGGGCCTGCACGACTACAACGACATCATCAAACACCCCATGGACCTCAGCACCATCAAGGTGACATGCACGAACTTTGACCTTTCTTAGTTGTTTTAGTAATCCGTTAGGAGCTTTTAACTTGCTTTAGGCTTGTATTCTTAATGCAAAATTGGGGTTCGACTTTAGTTCATGGTCTCACTGTTTACTACATTCCAACCAAAATGTATTCAACTTTTATTAAATTAATTTTAATTAAATTTTACATTTAATTTGAATTATTTTAATTAATTATTCAATTTATTCAACAGAAAATGGTAATAAAATATGACAAGAACTCCGATTTGATCGAATCAGTTGACATATTTAATTATTAATTATTATTATTTACACAGAAATATGAAGCCGCAGCACAACTGTTTTCAACACTGATAATAATCATAAATGTTTCTTGTCATCATCATATATTAGATAATGCATCTAATCATCATATTAGAGTGATTTCTGAAGGATCATGTGACACTGAAGACTGGAGTAATGATGCTGAAAAGCACAGGAATAATTTACACTTTACTGTATATTCATTTTAAATGGTGATAATATTTCAAAATATTACTGTTTTATACTGTTTTTTTTGATCAATTAATATCAGCCATCGTTTTGGATTTGCAAAAATAATTTTTGAATTTAATCAGAAGCCAATGAATTGTGAATTGAATCGTTCAGATTCATGTTGTAAAATCTATAAATGAATCCATAACTCTATTGATGAATCCATAACTCATCCATAACTCTATAGATTAATCTATAAGTCTATAGATTAATCCATAACTCTATAGATGACTCCATAACTCTATAAATGAATCAATAAATCTATAGACAAATCTATAACTCTATAGATGAATCCATAACTCTATAGAGGAATCCATAACTCTATAGAGGAATCCATAACTCTATAGAGGAATCCATAACTCTATAGATGAATCCATAACTCTATAGAGGAATCCATAACTCTATAGATGAATCCTCATAACAATATAGATGAATCCTTAACTCATCCATAACTCTATAGATTAATCCACAACTCTATAGATGACTCCATAACTCTATAAATTAATCAATAAATCAATAGACAAATCCATAAATCTATAGACAAATCCATAACTCTATAGAGGAATCCATGAATCCATAACTCTATAGAGGAATCCATAACTCTATAGAGGAATCCATGAATCCATAACTCTATAGATGAATCCTCATAACACTATAGATAAATCCATAACTCTATAGATTAATCTATAAGTCTATAGATTAATCCATAACTCTATAGATGACTCCATAACTCTATAAATTAATCAATAAATCAATAGACAAATCCATAACTCTATAGTGGAATCCATGAATCCATAACTCCATAGACAAATCCATAAATCAATAGACAAATCCATAAATCTATAGACAAATCCATAACTCTATAGTGGAATCCATGAATCCTTAACTCTAGATGAATCCTCATAACTCTATAGATGAATACTCATAACTCTATAGATGAATCCTCATAACTGTAAATATGAATCCATGAATTCATACCTCTAAAGATGAATCCTCATAACTGTTTCATTGCTTATGAGTGCTCTTTAAAGCTTATTTGTTAAATGTATCAAATCGTTGTGTGTCTGATTGTCTCGGCCGCTTCACGTAACTCACACTCCTCCTGTTTTGTGTGTTGCTCAGAGGAAGATGGACGAGCGCGAGTACAGAGATGCCCAGCAGTTTAGCGCTGATGTCAGGCTCATGTTCTCCAACTGCTACAAGTACAACCCTCCCGAACATGACGTGGTCAGCATGGCACGGAAACTGCAGGTGCGTAAACTCATCCGCCTCTTCCGTATGCTTAAATGCAAAATAATAACCTTAATGATCCTAAAATATGCTGGTTTTGTGCCAGCTGTTTAGTGATTTTAAGCTGGACTTGTTTGAGAGAGGATTTTTTTTTTTTTTTTTTTTGTAATATTATTTTTTGATTGTTATTTTAAATATGTATTTATTTGGAGGAAATAAAGCTTTATTTAAATCAGCCTAGTTAAACAGTTATTTAAAAAGTTATTATTTAAATAAAATAAACATTTCTTTAATTATTATTATTATTATTATTATTATTATTAGTTGCTGTTTTTATTATTATTTTTGATAATTTTAGTATTTTAGTCATTTTATAATTAAATAATTATTTTGTAGTTTTTATTCTTTATTTTTCATTTGAGTGTTTTTAAATGGTTATTTTATTGTTTTATTAGAGAAAATAAAGCCTTAATTATTTATATATGATTATAATTTTTTATTTGCATTTTTATTTTGTAAAAATATTTTTGTTTTTATTATTTTAAATGTTTTAAATTATTTTTATTTATTTTATTATAATTATTTATTATTATAAACATTTATTATTTATTGTTTATTTGAAGAAAATAAATCCTTTATTCAATTCTACCTAGTTAAACAGCAGTTAAAAAAGTTTATAATATATAAAATAATTATTTGTAGTATTTGTTTAAATATTTTATTATTATTATGATTCATTTTAGTATTTTTAAATATTATTATTATTAATACGTGATTTAAATAGTTTATAATTTAAGTGAAGTAAATAATTATGTAGTTTATTATTATTAAAAAATAATAATTATTTTTTCATTTTATTCTTATTTTCATTTTTATTTGTGTTATTTAAATTTTCTTTTTTTATTGGAAAAAATAAAGCCTGATATTATTTTGGGTAATATCGGCCTAGTCAAACTGAGAGTGATTTAAATACATAAAAGAAAAAATATATAATACAAGTAAAATAATATACAAAGAATAACTTTATTTAAATTTTTTAAAATAGATAATAATAACACTTTACTTTTATCACTGACATATATTGTCAATTTCCCAGTAATTAACTTTTGTTTTAAATTATTACACCTGATTTTAGATTTTAGATATAATGTCATATGCTTTAAGGTGACTGTCCTCCTGCAGATTCTATTTGCCCTCTGCCTTTCCACAGGACGTGTTTGAGTTTCGCTTCGCCAAAATGCCCGACGAGGTTTCGGAGGAAGAGGAATTGTCTCCTATTCCATTGGGACGGAACAGGGGCATGCTGGGAATGCACCACTCCTCCTCTTCATCATCCTCCTCGTCCTCTTCATCCTCCTCTTCCTCTTCGTCGGAGAGCGAGCCGAGCAGCGACAGTGAGCCGAGCTCGGACAGCGAGGAGGAGCGAGCTCAACGCCTGGCCCAACTACAGGACCAGGTGTGTACTCAGGTACACAGACCTTCCTGTTACACACATCTTCACATACATGTTATACATTATTTATTTGTTATACAATTTTCTATTTGAATACATTTGAAGAAAAAAACTATACTTTTATTCAGCAAGGATGCATTAAATTGATCAAAAGTTACAGTAAAGACATTTATAATGTTACAAAAGATTCTATTTCAAATAAATAGAACAGTTTTCAACCGATAATAATCATAAATGTTTCTTGAGCATCAAATCATCATATTAGAGTGATTTCTGAAGGATCATGTGACACTGAAGACTGGCGTAATGATGCTGAAAATCACAGGAATAAATTACACTTTACTATTTAATCACATATTTAAAATAATCAGCATATTTAAATTTCTTACCGATATTAGGTTAATATCGGTATAAATATTTAAAAATCTTACCGATCCCAAACTTTTGAATTTCTAATGTTTATATCCGTGTGTATGTATATAATTAATTAATTGATGTTTCCCAATCACAGTGGGATGGTAACTCTGGTGTTGTGTTTCAGCTCAGAGCGGTGCACGAGCAGCTCGCCGCCCTCTCATCTGGCCCGATCGTCAAACCCAAAAGAAAACGAGAGAAAAAGAAGGACAAGAAGAAGAAAAAGAAGCCGGAGAAGCGCAGAGCAAGTCGGAGTGTGGCTGACGAACGGGACAAAGTGCCTAAAAGCAAATCGAGCCGAGCGTCACTGTCATCCACACAGAGCAAGAAAACCCCGGCCAAGAAAAGCAGCAAAAACAAGTGAGTTTTGAGATATAATGTGATAATAGGGATGAGGATGACCATTATTATGTCCAAGAATTGTATATTTTAGGGTTTTAACAATATATCGCAATACAAAAATGCATCAATGTGGATTTCTTTATTCGTGAAAAATACAGTAATATGGATCACAGAATCAATAAGTTGCAATCTAAATCAAGTAAGTTTAATTTAAAGATTTATTTTTTAATTCATTTTCATATTTCGGCCGGTCTGCTCTTTTAAGATATCGACCTTCAAAAACCAATATCGGTCGACCACTAGTTTGATGACTATTTTGGCAACGGATTGATTAATGAAATACTGTGTTTTAAACTGTGAAAATGGATCAGTCTATAATAGGGGTGGGTATTGACACAAATTTCACAATTCGATTCGATTTCGATTCCAATTTGATTCGATTATTTTGGATATCAGTTACAATAAATGGCAATTTTTCTCAAGGGAATCAAATCTCTTAACTAATGCTGTAAACTATGGGAGTCTAGTTGTAGCCTATAGACTTCATTAGCCTAATATAAAGGTAATAATGAACTGTTTTGTAGCTATACAAACACTTAAATTACACTTTTATTTATTTTTATAATAAGAAGATTATATGAAATAAACATTTAAATGGTGGCTGTCATAAAAACTTGCCAGATTTATTCAAATATGCATTAAATATTGAAGAACATTAAGATTATAATGCATATGTAATATGGTGTATATATTTAGCAAAATGCTCCTCTCTAGAGTTATTTTTTCACAGCGACAAAACGTTATTTATATTTTTTAATTTCTAAAAAAAATGGACATAATTTGAAAACTGAGACTTTGTTTCATATCAATAGTAACAAAGGACAAAGATTATTGCGATACAATGTTCCATTCATTCAAATGAAACAGGATGAATCGATATCGGTTCGTAAAAATGAGAATCGATTAATATCGAGAAATCTATATTTATTACCCAGCCCTAGTCTATAAGCTTGTTCCAATCTGGATATTCTCGATAGCACATCGCAAGAATTGGTGAGATCGTGATTCAGATTATAAGATCGTGATATAAAACTTATTGTTAACCCTTTATTTTTATGTCTTGGAGTGTTGCAATAATATCGTATCGTAACATCAGGGTCTCGTTACACGTCTAGTTTATTTATATATCAAATTAATTCGATTTATTTACTCCAACAGGAACACGAAGAAATCGGCCTCGTCATCTCGTTTTGCTCCGGCCGCCCCCGTGTGCTTACCCCACTACGACTCTGAGGAAGAAGAGGACGGTCTTCCCATGAGTTACGATGACAAGCGGCAGCTCAGTCTGGATATCAACAAGCTTCCCGGGGAGAAACTGGGGCGCGTGGTCCACATCATCCAGTCTCGAGAGCCCTCGCTGCGGGACACCAACCCCGAGGAGATCGAGATCGACTTCGAAACGCTGAAGCCGTCCACGCTGCGCGAGCTGGAGCGCTACGTCATGACCTGCCTGCGCAAGAAGCCCCGCAAACCGTATGGTGAGCTGAGATTTGATGATCGTAAGTAAACCTGGATGATATAGCTTAAAAACATCAACATTTTCTGTCGAAATTGAGCTGCACGATCAATCGTTAAGAGATTAAAACGAAACAAATCTTTATGAATGAGTCATTGAATCATTCATTCAATAGATTTGTTTCATTACTGGATGAAACAGCATTTTTGAACCAGTGAAATCTTTTATGAGCGAGTGAGTCATTGAACCATTCATTCAATAGATTAATTTAAAAATGCTGAGTCATTGAATCATTCATTCAATAGATTTTTCATCACTGAACGAATCAGCATTTTTGAACCAGTGAAATCGTTTATGAGCGAGTGAGTCATTGAATCATTCATTAGATTAAATCAAAAATGCTGATTGATCCAGTAATCAAACAAGTGACATCTTTGAGTCATTGAATCATTCATTTAATAGATTTGTTTCATTACTGGATGAATCGGGATTTTTGAACCAGTGAAATCGTTTATGAGCGAGTGAGTCATTGAGTCATTCATTCAATAGATTAAATTAAAAATGCTGATTCATCCAAAAACTAAACTAGTGAAGTCTTTATTAACGAGTCATTGAATCATTCATTCAATAGATTTTTCATTACTGAACGAATCAGCATTTTTGAACCAGTGAAGTCGTTTATGAGCGAGTGAGTCATTGAATTATTCATTAGATTAAATAAAAAAAATGCTGATTGATCCAGTAATGAAACAAGGGACATCTTTGAGTCATTGAATCATTCATTCAATAGATTTGTTTCATTACTGGAGGAATCGGCATTTTTGAACCAGTGAAATCGTTTATGAGCGAGTGAGTCATTGAATCATTCATTCAATAGATTAAATTAAAAATGCTGATTCATCCAAAAACTAAACTAGTGAAGTCTTTATTAATGAGTCATTGAATCATTCATTCAATAGATTTTTCATCACTGAACGAATCAGCATTTTTGAACCAGTGAAATCGTTTATGAGCGAGTGAGTCATTGAATCATTCATTAGATTAAATCAAAAATGCTGATTGATCCAGGAATCAAACAAGTGACATGTTTGAGTCATTGAATCATTCATTCAATAGATTTGTTTCATTACTGGAAGAATCTGCATTTTTGAACCAGTGAAATCTTTTATGAGCGAGTGAGTCATTGAATCATTCATTCAATAGATTAATTTAAAAAATGCTGATTCATCCAAAAACTAAACTTGTGAAGTCTTTATTAATGAGTCATTGAATCATTCATTCAATAGATTTTTCATTACTGAACGAATCAGCATTTTTGAACCAGTGAAATCGTTTATGAGCGAGTGAGTCATTGAATTATTCATTAGATTAAATAAAAAAAATGCTGATTGATTCAGTAATGAAACAAGTGACATCTTTGAGTCATTGAATCATTCATTTAATAGATTTGTTTCATTACTGGATGAATCGGCATTTTTGAACCAGTGAAATCGTTTATGAGCGAGTGAGTCATTGAATCATTCATTCAATAGATTAAATTAAAAATGCTGATTCATCCAAAAACTAAACTAGTGAAGTCTTTATTAACGAGTCATTGAATCATTCATTCAATAGATTTTTCATCACTGAACGAATCAGCATTTTTGAACCAGTGAAATCGTTTATGAGCGAGTGAGTCATTGAATCATTCATTAGATTAAATCAAAAATGCTGATTATTGCAGTAATCAAACAAGTGACATCTTTGAGTCATTGAATCATTCATTCAAGCATTGATAAAAAAAAAAAAATCTTAGTAAAATCTTAGTTCAGCAATTAACATTGTCAGAACCATTTTTTAAATAATTAAAAATAGTTAAATAATGGTATAAATATACTGCAGCAATCATTGCCAAACCCTTTTTTTTACCTCATTACGTTATTTAGTCTAGTTGTATATTCAGAATGGTGGGAAAATCGGGATCTCATATTTTAATTGTGCAGCTCAATATCTCAATTGTTTTATATGCATCATGATTTACATGATTTTTCAAAATCAGTTATAATGCATGTTTTAGCTGGGACTATTTGTGGTGCAGTGCATAAAGGGTTACACTTTATTTTAAAATGTCATCGTCGTTACAGTGTGATCATATATTTAAGTACTGAACTACATGTACTTACTATAGGGTTAGGGGAGGATTAGGGTTTGGTTGAGGGTTAGTTGCATGTAATTATGCATCATTTACTGTTATTATTATGCATGTAACATATGTAACAAGGATAAAGTGTTACCCTTTATTCATTTAAAGTGTAATTTAATATATTTAAGTACTGACTGAGTAATATTAAGCATCCACATGTACTTACTATAGGGTTAGGCTAGGGTTATGTTTCGTTTGAGGGTTAGTTGCATGTAATAATGCCTGATTTACTGTTATTGTAAGTACATTGTGACTCCGTAAATGAAGTGTAATGATGATCCTCCTGTGTGCAGTGGTGAAGAAGGAAGGAGGGAAGAGTCGAGAGGATCTGGCCCTGGAGAAGAAGAGAGAGCTGGAGAGAAGGTTACTAGACGTGAGCGGACAACTGAACTCCGCCAAGAAACCCCAGAAACCCAAAGGTAGGGCAACACGATACCATTCATTTCAATGGGGAACGAGCGATTTCCGGCGAGACGCGCGACAGCGACCGGAGGAGGCGTGTCTGGCGACGCGACAAAGTTGAGATCTGTTTAACTTTATGCAAATGAAGAGCGACAACCAATAGGAGTGAAGTCAGTGGAGCGTGTCACTCATCACTGTTTTCTATTTCTAAAATATTATAAACCTATATGAAAATTGCTCGGCCTTTTTGCAATTTGTTTTTATTATTTTTCCTTGTAAAAACTACTTGTATATTAATTTTTTTAATATACTTTGTTTCCAATATTATAAAATAAATGATTATTATTACTAAATAAATTATTAAATAAGACATTTTTCTAATGTATTGTAATACACATATATAATATTTTATTAAATTAAATATTTATTAATATGAATAATAATAATACTTAGATTTTCTTTATTACAATAGTAATATTTCTTATTTAAAAATAAAAAGTTACAGTATTGGCCATTTATATATTTTTTTATTTATACACTTTCATCCATTGTATTCTAACCTATCATAAACCAATATGAAAATGACTTGGCTTTTAATAACAAGCTATTTTTCTTAATTACTTTTCCTTGTAAAAATATACTTTGTTTCCAGTATTATAAAATAAATGATTATTATTACTAAATAAATTAAAATAAGAAATTTTGCTAATGTTTTGTATTGTAATAATACACATATTTAATAATAAATATTATTATAATATTACAAATTTGTAATATGAATAATAATATTAAATACTACAAATAGTAATATTACTAAGTAAGATTTTAGCCATTTTTCATCTATTGTATTCTAATATGAAAATGACTTGGAAGCTATTTTTTTTTTTTTTTTAATTAATTTTTCTTTTTCCTTCCAATATTCACAAGCATTTTCCCAGATTTAAGTTTAATGTAAGTTGAAGTTAACTGCAGTTTTTGCACGTGTGTGTGTGTGTGTGTTTCAGTGGAGAAGCCCAGCGTTGTGGACCCTCACACAGCGTCGTCACGCCTCAGCGCCAGCAGCTCCAGCTCAGACTCTTCCTCATCCTCCTCATCCTCGTCCTCATCCGACTCCAGCGACTCCGACTCCAGGTGAAGAACTGGGAATTCTGGGAAGCGTTCAGATCCGTGCTCCTCCGCACACACGCTTTGTTTTCCGAGCTCCTGATCCCAGGATCTCTGGGCTTACTTCGGTGTATATATATATATATATATATATAAAAAGATGTATATATCGTGTAGGATGATTTTTTTTTCTTTTATAAAGAAGACTTTTACCAAAACGCCCATAATGGGAAACTCCGATGAGAATGTGTTATCATAACTACTTTTCTTAGTTGACGAAATGGCTTGTTGTTTTGTTTTGCTTCCATTTAATTTACATTTCTTGCTTCTGCTTTGAATATCCGGGCCGGTCGTTTTGAGCAAACAAAACAGAAAAGATGCACGTTTTCATGGGCAGAACATAAGAACTACTTTGCATTGGCTTTAAAGAGTTCAGGTTTCTGTGCGACTGTGTTGGGGTGTGTACAGTACCATATAATATTCCACAATTTGATCAAATTCCACTTTCTGTCATAAATTTGTCTGTGAAGTGGCATCAATCTCAAACTAACAGCGGTAATGCGCCGCCGGACTGGGTTTGTTCTTAAACGCTTCTCGGTTCAGGGGTTTGAATGCGCTGGTTCAGTTCAGAGTGGGTCTGGTTTGTAGTCTAGCAACAGAACCCTCTTTTATTTCCTGTATATAGTCCATAATATCATGATCCTGGTTCTTTGTATTTCTTCGCATTATTCTTTTTGAATATATAAGACAACAGGCAGATCCTTCAGACATAATATTCCTGATCTGCTGTATAATTAAGAGTTTATGCACTCCAGATTATACTTTGGTTTTTATTTGGATGGAAATACAAACACAACAAGTGAACTGTGTGAAGTGGTGTTTATTTAATATTGTGCATTGCATTTTAATTGCTTAATTGTGTGTGTGTGTGTGTGTGTGTGGTACAGTTCAGCAGCCTAGCCTAACCAGTAATGTTGACGGTGTTTAAATGCTGATTATAAGTAAGTCACTGCAGAAACCCAGCATGAGTGGCATGGAGAGGTTTTCATTATACTGGGATTTTACTGGGTTCCCAAAGTCATGAAAAACTGAAACATCAGGGGACTTTTATTTTGAAAATTGAATAGCAAAAACTCAGTGTATGATTTGCAACAGTTCAGAATCCATTGGTCAAAAGGTGTTTTTGTTCATTACATGTAGAAATGAATGTCAATCAGTGCATCGTGAGGAAAAACTGTAAAGGCTCGTTCTCATACACACACGCAAAACAAATGTAAACATTAAAATAACTTATAAAATATCATTTTTAATATGCAAATAACATGCAAAATATGATGTTACTGTTATGGGATTTTAAAATGTTGATTTAAATTTTTTTATGCTTTCTATAAAATTTGTAATATGCAAATAACATGCAAAATAGGTTGGATTGTATTTAATGTTAAAATGTAGATTCTCATTCTTATGCTTTAAAATACAATTTGTAATATGCAAATAACATAGGATGGATTTTATTGGATGTTTAAAATGTTCATCATTTTTATGCTTTAAAATATTTGTAATATGCAAATAACATGCAAAATAGCATGTTACTGTAATGCGATTTTAAAATTGAAATTGATTTTTTTTATGCTTTCTATATAATTTGTAATATGCAAAATAGGATGGATTTTTATTTATTGTTAAAATGTAGATTCTCATTTTTATGCTTTAAAATACAATTTGCGATATGCAAATAACATGGATTTTATCGGATGTTAAAATGTAGATGTGTGGGAACGAGCCGATTATAAAACCGATAACATGACTATATTAGCATGCACGCCAGCGGACGATATCGTTAATTTATTCATGTTTTGTAGTCTGCCCTGCCGCTGTAATGCGCGACTCGCGAGCTCCTGAGAGCAGGGTGGATTCTGATTGGCTGTCAACGATTTTATCATTCTGAAAGTGATTCCAATTATATATTTTTGCTGTGTCGCTATCTTGGTTATATTCCTTTATATTTAGACCGATTTTTCGAGCTATATCGTTATCGTCCTTAACAATGTGCCTAAATCACATTTTATTAACCGGTTCTCTATCAGTCCAGAGCATTTAGCCAATCATAAATGGCCTGGAACTGTTTCTAATATCACATGCTTGATGCACAATGGCTGATCCAGAATAAAAACAATGGTTTCATGCATCGCGAAAGAACTGAAACTGGCATGTGGACTTCAGAGCGGAACCTGTGGAACCTGTGGAACCTGAACCAGTTTAGTGAAGAATGGAGGAAGTAAATGTTTCCAGTAAATGCGTGTCTGGCATTCGGCTCTGACCTCGAAATGCTGTGGATGTGCTTTCTCTTGTACACATCTGCCGTCACTTGGAGTTTCTCAAGAGCTCAAGGTAAGGATTTTATTTTCTTGATAACTGAACATTAGAGTTTGTTCCTGTTGTTTATTATCCTGTGTTTATACACTACCATACAAAAGTCGGTAAGATTTTTAATGTATTTAATATCGTCTGCTCACAGGCTGCATTTATTTGATTAAAAATACAACAAAGTGTAATATTGTTAAATATGATGGCAATTTAAAATAGCTGTTTTCTATGTGAATACAGTAAAGTGTCATTTATTTCTGAGCTGAATTTATCATCATTACTCCAGTCTTCAGTGTCACATGATCCTTTAGAAATCACTCTAATATGATGATTTGACGCTCAAGAAACATTCATGAATATTATCAATGTTGAAAACAGGTGTGTTCTTTCTTTAGGATTTTTTGATGAAGAGGAAGTTCAAAAGAACAGCATTTATTTGAAATAGAATGAAATAACACTATAAATGTCTTTACGGTAACCTTTTGATAAATTTAATTAATCCTTGATGAATTGAAAGTAAGTTATACATTTTTAAAGGAGAACTCCGGCGCAAAATGAACCTTTGGTCTAATTACACGTTGTTACCTAGTCAACCGTTATCTGAGATTTGTTTTCATGATTGCCGAGCGAGTGTAAATAGAGTAATGACAAATAAAAATCGCTTGTTATTACCACTAACAAGGCTCAAAATAGCCCCACACTAACATGGTAGCATAATAAGGGTCCCTACATTCAAACCGAAGCATTGAGAACTTTGTCATTGTCCATACAGTTTAATAAGAAGATATTTTATACACACAGTCAACTTCGCGAATACAGGAAGAAGCCATCTTTGAAAAATAGTCTCTACCAGTCGATCTACGAGCGTCGATCCAAGTGCGATGACCTGTGCAGAATTCCATATGGTCAGTTGTTTTCGGAAAAAACACAAACACGAACCATTTTCTTCTCTTTAATATGTACACGTAGCCTACTGTTCGCGCTCACCTTATCACCTTATTCACATCTCACCAGCGCACATGGATTGGTGTTCGTAGATCGACTGGTAGAGACTATTTTTTCAAAGATGGCTTCTTCCTGTATTCGCGAAGTTGACTGTATGTATAAAATATCTTCTTATTAAACTGCATGGACACTGACAAAGTTCTCAATGCTTCGGTTTGAATGTAGGGACCCTTATTATTAATAACAAGCGATTTTTATTTGTCATTACTCTATGCCCTAGCGTTATAGGCTAAACTGTTTTTAGAGAGAAAACTATTTACATTCGGCAATAATGAAAACAAATCTCAGATAACGGTTGACTAGGTAACAATGTGTAATTAGCAAAGGTTCATTTTGCGCCGGAGTTCTCCTTTAATAACCCCCCCCGGAAGTATACCAAGAAGTAAACAAGAAGTAGCGTTAGAGTAGAGGTAAACATGGCGAGACCATTATAGACGCAGCACAGCACGATACTTTTGGAGCGAGGAGGAAACCAAGTACTTTGTGTGGAAACCATGAATTTAATGTATTTTATGTTGACGGCAGAAAGTACCGAGATAGTGAGATACAAGACGCTATTGCGTACGTCCAGACGCTAACCGTGCGTCGCCGTTATATTGCTTATTGATCACAAATTCCATACAGGAGTAACTCTCTCTGCTCACGTATCAAAACTGGTTATTCCAAAGGTTTCAGAAACCCGAATAGTGACCTTAACCCGACCATAACCCGAATGTTGACGGCTTATAGTCACTGTCACACGCCCACAACCCCTAAAGATCGCGGCAGAGCTTCTCAGTCGACATTGGGCCACCCTTAAAAATATTCTTGTTTGCCGTAACCCGACCGACCCTGTCAATTTAGGGCCGACCCAATTTTTTATTTTTTTTCCCTTTTAGTCCGACCGACTTGCCGGTTCTAACTTGCGTTCAGACCGACCGATTTTTTTATTTTTTTTTACTCTTCAAACGACTAATTCAAATTCAATAAAATAATTAATTATATTTTAGTTAGTATTGTGAAAGAACTACGTTCTTTCTTTTAAATAAAAACCCGTGGCGTCATACAGTCATCCGATTATGTTTACATTGGTTTAACGTTACGCGTGTCATAGCCTATATCATATGGCTTGTTCGCTCGTTTCATTCAGTGTTCCCGCTTGGTAAACCCGGTTTTAAACGGGCAAAGGGGCTGAATATCAACCATTTCTATATATAATAATAATAATATTAAACAATTTGTCTGTGATGCAATTTTGCTATTCGCAGTCCAGAAGAGAGAGCGATCTCTCACCCGGAGCCACAGCGCGCACAGCACGACAGCCCTGCTTAATGAGTGACAATGAGGACAGAACGTGGTTACCTACACTTTAGATCTGGGATATTATTCTAATTGTATAGATTTCCGCTTTCAAAGATTATAAAAAGAAGATATTTGAGACGAAGCCATTACAGAAGCATTCTGTCTAGCGCAACTTTCCCTTCACAGCGTTGCGCTGTCATTTCTTCCTAAAGCCCAAACGTACCGTCAGAATCAGCAAGATCGGTGATTGTTGTAAAATGCAGTCTGTACTGTTGCTAAACTGCGGACGCGTTCAATCATTAAAAGAGCTGTTAAAAGCACAAAAGTCTCCGCAAGAGACGCTGTTAACAAAGCGACGCGAGCTCCGAAATGCACTAAAACGAGACAAGAAAACTAGGCTATAGCCTCATTTTGGGCTTCATGTGCGCATCTAAACTATCAAATATACATAAAATATAAAAATGATCTGCTCTGAGATATATTTAAACACAGTTTATGTCTTAATTGGACGTAAATAGTTGGGAGAAAATGATGGTGCATCAGTCATATATTACAGTAGACTTCTGCATTCGGTATTAAAGGGGCAGTAGTCTAATAAACATGTGACGATTGAGCCAATGCGAATCAAACAACAAAAGGCAGATAAAAATCACTCACAGCTCTTGAATGAATAACTTAAACTTTAATAAGCATTAATCTAACTATGATAAACTATGCAGTGTCATTTTACATTTGATTACTAATTAAATTTCTTTTCAGACAGCGCAACACACTTAACTGAAAAGTAGCTAATTTTAGACCTTCCTGAAATTAAAGCACTGTGTATATAGGCTAATTTGTATCTAATTTGTAATTGTATTCTTTGTTTGACCATGTGTTTTGTACTTGTTTTTGCTTATCTCATGTATATATGCATAACAAATAGATATTTTATTCATTTTGTGACTGGCCTAAAATGTAACCGGTTGTAGGTTGCATTAACACCTAGCGGTGGATGCACAGTTTGAAGACAGTCAGTGACGTCACAATATGCATTTTTTTAAAAAAATTCACGATCACCATGACCAAAATTGTACTTTTTTTTTTTACACTGAATCTTGAAAAAAAAAATATAGACCTACCTACCGACCCTTTTTAAAAAAAAAATTGCTGTTACTGCAAACCAAAATATTTTTAAGGATGGCCTTGTGGTGGCGTTCATGTGCGTACAACACGT